ACTAAGATCCTAACAGCATCATAGGACAATTACCAGATACAAGACACTAAGTATAAATCCTAAATTAATTTTCAGCCAATTGACCAGCTGGGAGAAGAAATAACAGAATTACTAAAAACCAGAAAACCTGAAACCCCGACGTGAATCCCTCCGGTAAGGTGCATTACGGTAGGAAAAGCGATCAGAACGGATCTTACGATCCAGTGGGCTTCTGCTCCTGGTCCTGCTTCGGCTCCTGCTGTCTGAACTCATGTTCAAACTTATGCTTATCAACACCTCACACACAACAGATCAGCAAAACCACCACCACCACCAACAACAACAAAACTAACTGCTGCTGCTTCCTTCCTGTCCACATCACAACCACACACCCATCATCATCCATGAACCAAACCAAAGCCTCATTATCCCCTCCCAATTGAAACACCAAATTCCTAGAGAAAAGAACATAACATTCAACAAGCAATCCATCTTTTATCAATTATAAGCCACTTAACTCGCACCAATAAGTTACCCATTACCTCAACCATATTCCATCTAAAAATTCAAGCATCTCCTAGTATAAACATCGCCCCCAACTAATGCCACATCCAGGATTCTACACGGAGAGATATAAACTCCAAGTCAACAACCGACCATCCTTTCTAGACTTCTAGATAAATGAAGTTCAGTGGAAAGCAGACAAGAGGTGAATGAATGAGGTGACAAAAACTAACATGGTTAAACAGCATACAACGGGAACAGCAAACAGGAAGAAGGATGAGTTGCAGAAATGGTAGCAAGTTTGTCATAGGTTGTCAGTGTTACCAAGGTTGTGGGTTAAGTGTTGGTATTAGAAAACTCAGATGCTGGCACATATTTGCATAATATTTCACTCTACATACTTTCATCTAGAATGATAATAATAACAGGCAACAATAATTCAGGATTTGGTTAGGGATCAGCTCCAGCTACAGGAAATAAATTAAACTTGAAATATTGTTAGTTCACACATTCTTTATGAGTAAGCGCCCAAAGGGCACTCGGATGTACAACCTTAACACTAAAATTAATTATCAAGTTCACATAATTCTCCCATTCTGCTTTAACAATCTCAACTATCCTCCCAGCTCATACACCCACATCCTCTACAAAATCTAATTTTAACATAATTCAACAGAAAGACCGTAACTTTACAAAGCACACACGAACCCATCATTCACCTAACCAGATTCAGACCTTAAAAGCAAAGTCCCAACACCGGAATGCAAAATAAATCAAAGCCCAGATTCACACCACACAACCCACCGGAAATTCAAAGAAAACCTAATCAATCAATACTAACGAGGGAAAGATGCATCCATATCGATTAGGGCACCAATTGAGCAAACCCTAGCAAAAAGTAATGGAATTGAAAGCAAAGCAAATCTGAGCCGAATTTTGGGAGAACCACACCTCAAAAACTAACTATTGAAGTGGAACTGCCCAAAGCCACAAAACCCCACACCAGAATCCCATACTTGGGATGTGGGAATCCAATTCACCTTGCAATTGGACTCTAACAAAATCAGAGAAAGAGAAATTGTACAAACCTGGCTTTAGTACTGCATCAGAAATTGTCGAATTAAGGATGTAGGGATTTAAAGAGATTAACAGAGCAAAAATTTCACGGAAGTCAGATTTTGGTGGAAGAAAGAGTAGCTGATTCTGAAAAGAGCGAGCGAGGGAACGAAGTAAGGATTGGAGTATAAAATTAGAAAGCTTTTGGGCCCAACAAGTTTAGATTCCAAGAGTAAGAATGCCAATGGGCTTTCGATTTATTTTTGTTTTTGAGCTGTGAGCTGGGCTTTTGAATTTTGATTGTTATTAAATGAGTTGGATCTGGCTCAACCGATTAGTCCATAACAATTGGGAACCCATTCTTAGAAAACAGTTGGGAGGTATTTTAAATTTATTAATTAACATTTAAAAATAAAAATAAATGCATATTAATTATATTATAAAAAAAAAAAAGCCCGGATTGAAAGGGCATGAATGATTTTAGGATATTACTTGAGACACAGGCAAAGTAAGTAGCCAACCAACCAAAAAGAGAGTATGGGGAAAAGTCTGTTTCTTACTTCCAGCTAAAAAGTTTTTGTCTGCTCATCAAGACATCAACAAATACGGTTACAAAAAAATTCAATACCAGAAAAAGCATACCAAGCAAGCACAGATCTAGTATTGTGGCTTTGTGAACTCCCACCAACTCATGGAAGAATTGTCATGAAATCATTAATTAAAATAGATATATCTCTAATCTTATATTCTTGAAGCTAATATTTTGTTACACACAATTTTTAACTATTAAGAGCTCCCATAATTTTATTTTTGTTTAGAGTGTAGACTATCAAGTCTTTCTAAACCAACTTAATTACTTTTATATGTCAAAATCAATGATTTTAAGTGTATGTCTCCATATTGACTTAATATATTTAAGATAGCACATGATGAATAACATGTAAAGGACGCTTGCTTTCCTGTCTATGCAACCATTGGGTTATTAAGACACCCTACGATGAATGAAATTGTAATTGTCCTCTAAGAAAGCAAAACTTCATGGATCATGGTTCAAACAAGACACCACCACCACCACTACTTTCAGCAACCTTTGGAGGACTACTAGATAAGAATATAGAATTTTTTTTTTCTCCCATTTTGTCGTTACCCTTTTTTTTCCAATTATTCTCATTCCCACGCAAGCCACTCACAATTATTCATTCTTCCCTTGTTCAATTAATTTCTACTATTTCTTAAGCAGCCAATTTCAAGTACAAATGCAAATTCAAGGCCTTAATTTTGGAAGAATGCGTATACTTAAACCAATTTGAAAACAATATACTTATAATATTCCATTAAATGTGCAATTAAAACACTTAATATCAAATGAAAACAACTTGTTTATATCATTTTCGAAACGCATTTGGGCGATCATTTCCTGTTTGGAGTTCTCCCTTTTTATGGACCCACACAAAAAATGGAAACGCCCTTGTGTTTTGGCTAAGTACCTAAATGCATGTGAGTTCACTGACACCCCCACACACTGTCGGCGCTTCCTCCTCCCCTCGCGGCCACAAATCACCCCCGTGACCCGCTTCGCCCATATTAAAACCCCTCCAATTTTACCCAATATTTCACACACTCTTTTGAGTACAGAAAAATGGAATTTCCCTCCCTTGTTTTTCTCTTTTCCCTTCTTCTTCTTCTTCTTCAATTTCCTCCATGTCGATCCAGCTACCACGATTACCAAGACGCATTAACAAAATCGATTCTGTTTTTCGAAGGCCAGCGCTCCGGTTTCTTGCCGCAGGATCAGCGACTGACTTGGCGAGCTAACTCTGGATTGAGTGATGGATGGATGTACAACACGGACCTCACCGGCGGCTACCACGACGCCGGCGACAACGTCAAGTTCGGATTTCCGATGGCCTTCACCACCACAATGCTGGCCTGGAGCGTAATCGAGTTCGGAGACATGATGCCGTCGAGTGACCGGAGGAATGCGCTCGTCGCAATTCGCTGGGCCACCGATTTCCTGCTCAAGATGGTTTCTCAACCGAACCGGATTTTCGTTCAGGTAATGAATGCGTAGCCAAATGCGGCCAGTGGTATTTTTTGTGGTTAGTCGTGATGTGTGGGGTTAAAGTAGGGAATTCGCACTGCCATTTTCTGCTTGAACTGAATTCATCCGTGACCGCGAGTGTAGCACTCGTGGACCGGTTCACAACGTGGGTTCGTCTTTCGTCGTTTATCCGGTTTTTTGTTTTTTGTTTTTTTGCCGCGAAAATCGACGGCGGTTATGCCTTGGCTTTCGCGTTTTTCACCTGACAACCTGCTCTTGAATTTTCTATTAAAGTTGGTAATTTTCTTAAATCCGATTCCCACCACCCGGCAAAACTTACTTTTCTTTTTTTTTCCTTTTTCTTTTTAAAAGCCACATGATTTTTTTTTTTTTTTAACCAAGTTTTATAAGGGTGGGTTTCGAACCTATGAGAGGGGGTAATGCAGCTGCAAGAGTAACCCGAAGGCCATTTGGCCTGAAGGGACAGGTGCTTAAAAGCCACATAATTGAAACCATAGAATAGTGATTATTAAATAAAATTGAGTATATTAAGTGTAAGATGATTTCTTATTTAATAGTTTTAATTTTACACAAACGGCTTAGGTGGTAAAATTGAAAATAACTTTTAATAATTAACTAAATTAATGTGGTATTAATTAAATGAAAATTTTGAGGTTGAAGTAGCTAAAACCTATGGAATTTGCCCCTTTTTTTTTTTTTCCTGTATAGTGTAATGCTTTAAATTAGACAACACAAATAACAATTATATTTGTCAAATATCTCTATATCAATCATAAAATTGCTCCTCTTTTTTCTTGTATAATGTAATGCTTTGAATTATACAACACAAATAAACCATTCCACTTGTCAAATCTCTCTACATCAGTCATAAAATGAATTTCATGGTGTGTTTTGTTTGAGAACATCGGTCTAATTTGGTAATACGATTAACGATGTTGACTAATTTACACTTTTGGGTCATCGTAGCCATGGATGCTTGGTGACTAGGTCCATTCTTTTTTCTTCTTAAACTCCGTGACATGCATATAGTCTATGTAGGGTCCCGTTCTTGCTTTATTGTGCTCCACAGAGACAGGATATGCCCCTAGTGGTAAGATATTGTGATGGCTTCGTGAAAGAACGTTAAGTTCAAATAAATTATGTTTAATATGATTGAAGTTTTATTGGTTTATAAAATTTTTAAAAAAAATTAATTATAATATTTCAAAATATTAATTTATAAATCGGTTTTAATATATTAAGTAATACATATAAGTGTTTTATTAATTGTTAATTATTTTTTATCTTAAATTAATATTTTTAAATATAATATCATATTATCTTAATATTTTTATGTGTGATCATAACCATGTTTATCTAATAGTAATACATTTTACACTTTTATATGATTAGCATTTACGTAGATGATATAATAAGAGATAATGATTTTATTTTTGTATATTGTTTTGATATTAGAATGTAATATCATTAATAAGAAATTTTATTTTTGAACACTCATTGTGGGTTATGCATGAAGACCCTTTGTTCGAGTATTATTGTTACTAATTTTCATTAATTTTTTTATCTTAAGGTGGGGGATCCGAATGTAGATCATAGTTGTTGGGAAAGACCGGAGGATATGGATACGCCGAGGACAGTTTATGCCGTGGATGCGCCGAACCCAGCTTCGGATGTGGCAGCAGAGACGGCAGCTGCTCTGGCGGCTTCATCAATGGCGTTCAGATCATCTGACCCAGGATATGCAGAAACATTGTTACGGAATGCCATTACAGCATTCCAATTTGCAGACAATTACAGAGGAGCCTACAGTGACAATTCCAATATCAGAGACGGCGCCTGCCCGTTTTACTGTGATTTTTCCGGTTACCAAGTGAGTAAAAACACAAGAAAATTATCTCAATTCTTGAAATTCATCTTCTCTTATCTCAATTCTTTCAATTCTCATACGCACACAGGATGAATTGCTCTGGGGAGCAGCATGGCTGAGGAGGGCTTCTCAAGACAATTCTTACCTTAGTTACATAGAGAACAATGGCAAAACACTCGGCGCTGATGATAATATTAATGAATTCGGTTGGGACAACAAGCACGCCGGCCTAAATGTTCTTGTTTCCAAGGTCAGATTTCTCTAATCTTCTACTACAAAAACCCAAAAGAATTCGTGATATTAGTAAAAAAGTTCACTCTTTACCTTATTATCCACTACGATTCCAAATTTTCATTCCCTCAACCCCGATTTAGATGGCCTACTTTACTGGGCTACTTTGAAAACACTTGGTTTTTGTATATTAACTTAAATTTAATTCTGTTTTTAGGAAGTTCTTGAAGGAAATATGTACACACTCCAATCATACAAAGCATCAGCGGATAGCTTCATGTGTACGCTAATACCGGAATCATCCTCCTCCCACATCGAGTACACACCCGGTGGCCTCATCTACAAGCCTGGCGGCAGCAATCTCCAACACGCAACCTCAATCTCCTTCCTCCTCCTCGTCTACGCCAATTACCTGGATCGAACCTCCCAAGCGCTCAACTGCGGCAACGTAATCGTCGCACCGAATCACCTCCGGTTACAAGCGAAGAAGCAAGTCGATTACATCTTAGGCGACAATCCGAAAGGACTATCGTACATGGTCGGCTACAGCAACTATTATCCGCAGCGAATTCACCACCGAGGCTCGTCGTTGCCGTCGACCAAGGATCATCCTCAGTTCATCTCCTGTAAAGAGGGTTCGGTTTACTTCAATTCCACCGATCCGAACCCGAACGTGCTAGTGGGTGCGGTGGTGGGCGGACCGGGGGACGACGACGGGTATGAGGATGATCGGGTGGACTTTCGGAAGTCGGAGCCAACGACGTATATTAATGCACCTTTTGTTGGTGTATTAGCGTATCTTGCAGCTAATCCTAATATTAGTTAGTCAAAATGAGGCTAATTAATCTGTACATAATCTTTTTAAAAAAGTGAAAAAAAGATTGGAGTCTCTCGTCTTGGACTAAAGCAAAGAGGGAAGAGGCTAATTTAGAGGGGGAGGTTTAGGTGGCGGGTTGTCACATTTCACAAGAGCTCCTTGTGAATCTTTCGGAATGAGGGTAAAGTGTTTTTATTAAAGATGTAAAACCATTATATGCTCACATCTTCATCAATCAAAAGCGAAAGCATTTCACTTTTTTTCAAATTGCAAAGGCAAGGAACATGTCGTATGGAGTGGGTGGAAGTAGTATTCTATGCCACCCATTCCGCTAAAGTTTGACGGTTTTTAATTTTATTTTATTTTATTCAAATTATAATTGTTAAAAAAAATTGCAAAGGTAAAGTGTTTTTATTAAAGATGCAAAATCTTTTGAGTTTTTTCAATTATATGCCTTATTTTTTATTTATTTTTTAATTGTCTCACTTTGAAATTGCAAAGAAATTGAGAAATTAAAAATAAGATAAACAACAATGGTATAATTATAATGTTATATAAAATTATAAATTTATAATTAAAATATAATATTAAATAAGTACAACATGTCATTAAATGAGTG